GATTCGAACCTGCCACCTTAGGTGTATGTGGCTGGCGCCTTAGCCATTTGAGCCACAGGCGCCGAGCCCAGAGTTCTTATAAATGCAATTCAATCTCTTCCTTATTATTCTGGGGTTATTGTTCATATCTTCTTATATTTCTTAAATGATAATTAGTTATGTGTGTATACCACATTTGTTTATCCATCTATTCGCTGATGAACACCTGGCTTGTTTCTACCTTATGGCTGTTAGGAATAATGCTGCTATGAACATGGGTGTACCAATGAAGAGGCCTTACTTTTAATTCTTGTGGGACTATTTCTAGAAGTGGAATTGCTGGATCATGCAGCAATTCTAGCTTAATGTTTAGAGGAAAGCTGTTCATACTGTTTTCCACAGCAATTGCTTTATTTTACATTCCTACTAGCTATGGAAAGGGGTTCTGGTTTCTCTATATCCTTGACGACATTTGCTATTTCATGTTTTTTTGTTTTTTGATAAGAGCCATCCTAATGAGTATGGCCTAGTATCTCTCTGGGGTTTTGATTTATTTGCACTTCTTACACAGCAGAGTGCTTTGGGCCAGTGGCAGGATGGACAGAGCTCTAGTACTGGCCTCACAATGATGGTAAGGCAGGGACACCAGGACAGGCTTTCCAAACCATGCAGTAGGGGCCTAGTAAGGATGTGGCCTCCACTTCTTCCAGCAACCACAATGGGGGCTGCACTGACATTCACACTGTGAACAGCCAAGGATGGGCTTAGAATAGGACACTGAGGGAAGGGAGGAAGCCCAAGGGGCTGCACTGAGGCAGGAGTCTCACACTGTAGTGGAAGTGTTCCCTGAGGAAGAGCCTACGAAGGAAGGCTTGCTGTCCTTGGGCAAGAATCTCTTGCTGATGAAGCCGTGGGTAGCCAGGATCTTGAGGAGTCCATAACGAAACTTTTGGCCAATGAAGGCGTAGATGACAGGGTTGAGGCAGCTGTGGAGGAAGCCCAGAATCTCAGTGGCTTCTAGGGCCTGGTCGATGTCACTGCGGCGCCCACAGCTCTCCTTGATCACCTGTATCCTCATGAGGGTGTCTGCCAGCAGGACCAGGTGGTAGGGCAGCCAGCAGAGCAGGAAGATAAGGACGACAGCAAAGATGACCCGCATGGCCCGGTGCTTCTGCCCCATGTGGGCCTTAAACAGTGTGTGAAGGGTGAAGCCGTAGCAGAACAGCATGACCAGCAGCGGCAGGACAAAGCCAAAAGTCTGGGGCAGGATCCGCAGCACCATCCGCCATGTGGTTGTACTGTTGCCCATGTCCTCATAACAGACTGGGCTGGAGAAAGGAGGGTGAAAAGCCTTCCGGAAAATTATGACGGGGAGAGACAGGCACAGAGATAGGGCCCACATCCCCAGGCATACGAACTTGACCAAGTGGCGCTTCAGGGTGAGCGTGCGTGTGGCATGGACAATGGCCAGGTAGCGGTCCACACTGATGCAGGCCAGCAGGAGAATGCCACTGTAGAAGTTGACTTCCTTCAGGAGGGACACCAGCTTGCATACGGGTGTGCCAAAAATCCAGCCATTCACCTTGGCGGCGGCCCAGATGGGCAAGGTCAGAGCAAAGAGCAGATCGGCCATGGCCAGGTTCAGCAGGTAGACATCAGTGACAGAGCGGCTGACGCGGCTATACAAGATGACCAGCATCACCAGGGAGTTTCCCAGCAGGCTCAGCAGGAACACCAGGGCGTAGATGGTGACCACTGCATACTTATTGATATCCAGGGATTCTGGCCGGCATGGGGCAGAATCTGGTAGAATAGGGGGCAGGTCAGTGCTATAGCTGTAATTACTAAAGTCTTCATTAAGGAAATCTTCCCAGTCCATATCTTCCATTTTTGAGGTAAATTTAAATCCTGGCCTATAGAAGAGAGATGAGAGTTATTGTATAATAAGCCCTTCCCAGGTTCATGCCTGTCCTCCCAAGAAACAATTTTAGGATAATTTGCATCAGTTTGCATATTACATGGAAGTAATTTTCACATTAAATTTGTAAGTGGTAGGGGGATTAATGTTATGGGACAAGTTTAGTGATACACGATAAAGTTTATGACAATACTGTAGTTCTTTTCAGCATCAGAGAGAGATTCTTAGCATTTCTGGGACATGGCCAGACTCCATCGAAAGTTCCCTTCAGATAGTCCCTACAGGCCCTGCAGTCCTGCCTGCACCCTCCATTGAGATTTAATGCTCAGAACCGTGAGATGCCATTCAGTTCTTAATCTGGGGATGAAGCCTGTAGTGCAATTGAGATGTACCTTTAAGGAAAGGTCATGGTTTGCCTATAAAGCAGAGAGATGATTGCTTTCTCAACTTTTTGAAAAATATTTTAAAATAAGGATCTGGAAAACAATTTGAGTGATAGCAGTATGGAGGTTTTGAAGGCTTGAGCTGGAAGAATCTTTTTTTTTTAATTTATTTATTTTTGAGATGGAGCCTCAAGTTGTCCCCCTGGGTAGAGTGCAGTGGCATCACTCACAGCAATCTCCAACTCCTGGGCTCAAGCGAGTCTCCTGCCTCTGCCTCCCAAGTAGCTGGGACCACAGGTGCCCGCCACAACGCCTGGCTATTTTTTTGGTTGCAGCCGTCATTGTTGTTTGGTGGGCCCTGGCTGGATTTGAACCCACCACCTTAGGTGTATGTGGCTGGCACCTTAGCCACAAGAGCCACAGGCGCCAAGCCAAGTTGGAAGAATATTTAGTGACTTAATAAGGCCCGGTGTTTCTCTTTTGGGAAGGAAGCCTGATCTGGCAGTATTTGTGTAGTTTCAAAAGTTGTATTAAAAATGACAAACATGTGGTTGACCGATTCTCTGATAGTCACTAGATGTGACTATCACAGATCATTTGGGCACCTGTGTGCAGCCAGTTTCTGTCATGTGGGAGTGACCAGGGATAGCCAGTCTGCCCCCTAAATAAGGAGAGGGGTGGCAGGAAGCATAGAGGACAGGGGACACATTACCCTTATTTTGTGGCTTTCCAGTACCATTTGGGACCCTCCTGTCCTGCACTGCCTTTATCCATCCTGTCTCCCCTGTCCCCCCAGTCTTGGTCTAAGTCTGTGGCCTCTGTTCCTCCAAGGACTGCAGAGATTCTGCTTCAGCGCATGCCTGGGTGTGGAGGGCTGGCTGCAGCCAATGGGAAATACATCCCAGGGTCTTAAAGATTAAACTAAAATAAACCAGCTCCTGAATTTAACCACAACATAGATTCCCATCCTGCCATTTCTTTAGAGTAAAGGATGACCATGCGATTACCATATCTGAGTCTATACCCTGCCCCAAAGTGGACCCCAGCATCAGAGCAGAAACAGGAGGGAATCAGTCCCAGGAGCCACTTCACCCTGACCAGGCTGTGTGTACTGAAAACAGCCTTGACGAAAGCAATGTTGGGAGGTTGTGGAGAACACAGAACCCTCCCATGTTGCTGGCGGGAATGTAACATAGGGCAGTTACTGTGGAAACAGTTTAGCAATTGCTCAAAAAATTAAACACAGAGTTACCACTAAAAATCAAATCACTCAGTGCCAAATTGAAACTAGTCTATTAACAGTTACTGCTCACATGACAGAAAAGCTCAATTAAATTCAAGTAAGGGGAGGAAGAGAAGGGTTTGGGTAGGTTCCCACCCAATGGGTACATCGCATCGTATAGGGCACACTTGCTGGTGAAGGGCCCAACTACGACTTGGACTTTAACCTTATAAAAGCGAACTATGTCACCTAACCATAGGCACCCATAGATTTATTATATAACCCTCAATTCCCATCCTAGGTATGTACCCAAGAGAAGTGAAAACATATGTCCAGATCGAAACTTTTAAATGAATGTTCACAGCAGCATTCATCCTGACAATTGTTTCTACTTTTCAGAAAGTGGAAACAACGCAAATGTCTATCACCTTGTGAACAGATCAACTAATTGAGGTATGGTCGCATGCAGCATAATGAGGCTTGGTTAATGACGTACTGAATATGTAACAGTACATTGTATATAATGAAACTTGAATATATAAGTGAAATTGTTATTCTAAGCAAAAAAAGCCAGACATGGAGTCTCATACTACACGGTTCCATGTATGTGAAAGGACCAGAATAGGCAAATTGGTAGAGATTAGTGGTTACCAGGGGCTGGAGACAGGGAGGAATGTTAATAAGTACAGGGTTTCTCTTTGGGGTGATGAAAGTGTTCTGGAATTAGTGGCTATAGTTGTACAATATACTAAAAAACACTGAATTGTACACCTTCAGTGGGTGACTTTTGTGGCATAGGACTCACATCTTAGTTAAACAAACAACAAAAAAAGATTAGCCAAAGGCTTCACAACGTTGCAAAGCAAAACAAAGATTAATTAATTAATTTTTTTTTTTGAGACAGAGCCTCAAGCTGTCGCCCTGGGTAGAGTGCCATGGCGTCACAGCTCACAGCAACCTCCAACTCCTGGGCTTAAGTGATTCTTTTGCCTCAGCCTCCCAAGTAGCTGGGACTACAGGCGCCCAACACAACACCCAGGTATTCTTTGGTTGTGGTTGTCATTGTTGCTTGGCAGGCCTGGGTTGGATTCGAACCTGTCAGCTTTGGTGTACGTGGCTGGTGCCTTAGCGGCTTGAGCTATAGGTGCTGAGTTGCAAAACAAATATTTAAACAATAATAACAAAAGGCCTACAAAGGGTTTCTCTTTGGAATAAGGCAGTCTCTGTTACTGTCAATCATTCTATCAAAGAACAAAGCTGAGTAGGATGAAGAGAAACTGGAAAAATAATGTTTTTTTCCTCTAAGAGTGATGGAATTCTTAGCCTTCACCTTCCTGAGAAGGTATTACTTTCTCCCTGAAGTGATAGGGGCCACATAAATTATCCTCCCACTATGCCAAGAACACAGATAGAGGAGATTTGATCAGTTGGTGAACCTAGAGAGATATGGTGATGAGGGTGGGGCCCTGTCTGGCCAGGAGCCTGGGAAGGCAGTGGGAGAGCCAGGTGGTACAGCTGGCCGGGCCAGTGAGGTTGGCAAGACCTGAAAGAAGTCGCTGGCTCTGCAGTCTCGTGTTGAAGAGCAAGTTTTCTCAAAGGCCCAGGGTTATGTCTAGTGAAGTCACGTGGTCCAGGGTGGGTCATCTCTGAGAGCCAACGCTCTTAAGGGAATAAATGACAGAGAGAAGACCCACCTTTGAGAGTAGATGCAGAGCCTAGTGGGGTCAGAGAACTCTGACCCTTAGAGAGCGTGACCTGCATCTATGAGCACTGGTTGTGAGAAAACAGGGCGGGACCTTTGCAGAAACTGCCTTATTAGCACAGGCAGCAGCTGCAGAGCATGTTTCACAGGAAAATCCTCATTCTAGATAACCCAGAGCTCAGTTGAGCTGGGGTGGGCTGGAGGTGTTGGGTGAGCTCACACACGTGGCCATCGGGGTTCAGCTGGGGGTTCCAGAGGGAGAACAAGCCAAGTTGGGACGGAAGGTAGAGAAAGAAAAGAGAACCAGGATAAGCCAATGACCTCCAGCCCCTGGGGCACGGGTAGGGATGTGCATGGTTGGCGTTTCTTCATTTAAAAAATTTACCAGTCTTTGGGGGGGACAGACTAAGAAGGGAAGGGAGAGGATATATCTGAAGTCTGCTTTGTCCCTCGGAGATATGTGATCTCCCTCAGTCATTACAAATAGATAAGATTAGCTCTGTTTATAGAAGACTCAGCAACCAGCCTATAATTACAGGGCCAGTAAGTGATGCAGCCAGGATTTCAACTAGGTGTCAAGGACTCCACTTATATTGTTTTCTGTCTATAGCTCTGTTTCTTTAAAAGAAAAACCCCTCACATATTAAATATGATTGAAAGCTAAGTTCTTGAGATATCACGTCAACCTGTATATGGCGCATACACAGTGTCTGATGCTCTGCACGTTGTTTTCTTTTGCTGTCTGAGGCTCAGAATGAAAGGAGCAGCTCTTGCAGGAATGATAAACTAAACCACTTTGAACTGGCCTCTCCTGACCACCTGGTCACAGTCAGGTGGGTGCTTCCCTGATGCAGGAGAAAGGCCAGCCCCCGAGTTACTCACAGCACTTCAGAACTCCATGGACAAGATGAATTCTGTCTATTACATGAAAATGCCATACAAAGAGGGGCGTTTACAAGATCCCAAATATTTAAGGCAATCTTTTTAACAACAACAACAAATTCAAAGTTATTTTAATACAATTTAAGTTTCCTTCTCTCTCTAAATATAATCTCCAACATTTGCAGTTAGCACAGGAAGTGGGGAATCAGAGGTGTCTGGTCCCTCCTCAGACCCAATCCTCATCCAAACAAGGTGGGCTGGATGAGACTGGGGAGCTGCAGGGCCAAGGGAAGCAGGTGGGCAGCAGGCTGCCCTGAGTGGTTGTTGTAGAGGGCTGGAGGGAGGACGGGTGGAGGTTCTCCCTTTGGGGACAGGGAGACCTAAATTGAGAGAATGAAGAGGTGAGTTGGGAGGAGGAAGAGGAAGGCCCACCAAGGGTGGAGACGGCTGCCTGGGGTGAATGCAGGTGGGGGTCCCTAGGGCAACAGAGAACAGATACATTCTAGGTGGTGGGAAGGGTGGGTGTTATAAGACTTACCAGGATGCTGGGTTTTTCACCTGTAAGACACCTCCAGGAGGGCAGCTGTGACCAATGAAAGGGAGGTGGTGGTGAGAACACAGCAGAGGAAGTGAGTGGTGGATTAGATTACTCAATTCAGGGGTGGAGTTCCTCATGAGTATAGGATGCTTTTGATAACTAATTAATTAATTCTCAGTTCAGCTCTTGGATATGCAGTCATTTTATAGACTTACAGAGTTCGTATGGGGAAGAAACCTGTGAGGTTTTCTAGCCAGTCTTTCCATTTCACAGATGAGGCTCAAAGGAAGTGGTTTGCCCAAGACCACACTGATTCCTCTCATCTTTGCTGTGGTCTCATGCCCCTGGGTCCTGCGGCTGCCTTGTCTGAGTTTCCCAGGGGCCAGCTGCCTCAGGCTTCCCTGGCTTACTGTCCCACAGCACTGGTGGAATACAGATGAAGCTTTGCTGAATGTCTCTCATGAGGCAAGGGAGCAGCTCGCTGTGACAACAGAGGTGGAACTCATGCTTCTGGGAGTCTAGTAGTCTTCCTCCCTGGACCCAAGGCTTCATCCCTACTCCCCACCCCATTCCTAGCTTTACTGTTTCGCCTCGTACCCTCTGCTCTGAGCACAAGCCCATCTTAGGGCATTGCTGTTCTTTCTTGGCTTATACACTTGGTACTGGGTCTGAGGCCCCCAACTCTGCAGCAGCTACCATACGTGGAACCAAGACCCTCTAAGAAAACCTTTTGGTAAAAATGAAGATCCCGGGCGGCGCCTGTGGCTCAAGGAGTAGGGCGCCGGCCCCATATGCTGAGGGTGGTGGGTTCAAACCCAGCCCTGGCCAAAAACCTCCAAAAAAAAAAAAAATGAAGATTCCACCCAAGTCCAAAGATCCTTTTAAAAACAGTACTGAGTAACCCTAAAAGTGTCACATTTGCTCTTGATTACAAATGAAAGAATTGATACAGATAAAGCCGTGAACACTAATTCTGCTCCCTCCCAATCCCCTTGCCCCAGTGAACAACTCCTCAGTTTCCCCTATTTACACACATCCCAGGTCCCAGAGAGCACTCAGAGCCTGTGGCAGACCCACTCAAGCTGCTCACCCACCCCAAGGAGAGAACTTTTGAGCTGCTCAGCAATTATTCCTCAGTATTGTTCACCTCTCTTTCTCATATTGGGGAAGAATGCAAGGCCACTGGGCCAGCTGATGCTAAAACCGGACAGAAGCTCATTACACACCGAGGCAGATGAGAGCAAGGACTTTTCCTTTCTGAGTTTCATCTACTCACCTGTAAAATGGGGCCAGTAACAGAATCTAACTCAGTGGGTTGTGGTGAGGATGAAACAGGGGATGACCCATAAAGCACTTAGGACACACGCAGAGCTCAATGTTAATTTTTATTGCTGTGATCATTACTACTGGAATAGTCATCACCCGATGGCATTATATCGCCCACTGCGTCCATCATTACAGGAAAGCAGCGAGTCTGCTCTCAAGACTGACTTCCATGTACATCTTACTTTGCTTTGTCCTGGATAACAATCATCATATTGGCCGTGGTATTGAGTGCCTTGTTTCTGGGCAAAATGTTTTTCAGAATTTGTGTTGATTAAGCCTCACATCAGCCTCATGAAGTAGGCACTTTCTGGATGAGGAAATGAAGACTCTGAGAGATTAAGCAACTTACCTACAGTGATGCAACTGAACTAATTTTTTTTTTTTCAGTTTTGGCCGGGGCTGGGTTTGAACCCATCACCTCTGGTATACGAGGCTGGTGCCCTATTCCTTTGAGCCACAGGCACCACCTGCAACTGAACTAAATTGTAAGAAGTTTTACAAACTTAAAAAAAAAAAAAAAACAACTAGTCTCAAAATTCTACTGTCGGTGCTCTGTAACAAGGAGTTGGACCCCAGCCTGAGGTGTCAGAGCTCAGTAAGGTCAGCAGTCCCCAAGCTTTTTGGCACCCATCACTGGTTTCATGGAAGACTGTCTCCTTGGATTGGGGTGGGGTGAGTTAGGGATTCGATTCCAGCAGAGGCACACAACCTCGCGCCCTCACGTACAGTTTACAGCAGGGTTCCTGCTCCTATGAGAATCTAATGCCAACACTGATCTGACAGGAGGCAGAGCTCAGGTGATGATGTGAATATGAAGGGTAGTTTTATTTAAGAAAAGGGCTTACTGGGCTGAGCAACCCAGAGGTTGCTGGGAACCCTGGCAAAGTTGTTTCAGGTCAAGTAGGCTGTAAATACAGACAAAGCTCGTTTGCTCACTTGCCACTCCCTTACTTCCCTGTGGCTCACTTCCTGCTGTGTGGCCCAGTTCCTAACAGGCCACAGACTGAGGGGTTGGGGACCACAGTGTTAGGTACCTCTCTGTCCCTGGCAGCAGCTGGATACAAAGGCTGTAGAGAGGGGAGCCCAGATTTAATATTTCCCAGTGGGTCTAATTCTTAGGTCGATTTAGTTTCCACTGAACCCACCACATGTGTGTGTATGGTGGTGCTCCAACACAAAGCTGGTATAAAAAACTGGTTTCCAATTGGCTGCTTATGGTTAGGGATGCTTGGTGCCTTGTTCTAAGTCTGTCCTGTCCAATATGGGAGCTACTGGGCACAAGTAGCTATTTAAATTTAAATTAGTTAAAATGAATTAGATTCCTCAGTCACACTAGCCACATTTCAAGTGCTCAAGCTACATGTGACTAGTGGCTACCATATCAGACAGTGTACATCCAGAACGTTTCCATTACTGCACAAAGCACTGTCTTGGTGAAAATGTCTTTATCTTTAGCTCTAAGGTTCTGTACTTTATCACCCTCATCCTCAGAGACCTCAGACAAGGTTAAGGTTGTCAGGTCCCTGCAATCAGAAATATGTCTCCACTCTCTCAGCCTGAACAGCTCACACACCTGCTGTTGCTGCTATAGCTGCTATTGTTAGAGTGGCCACTGATATCCACGCTGTGACCCAGGGCTTGGTGGCGGTCAGAGCTGTTGATTAGGAAAAAAGTAAAGCAGACATGTCAGAACTTCTACCTGGGTTGTGAGAGGGAAGTCCAGGAGGCCCACCAGGGGTGTTAATCTCACAGAGGAAAAATGAGGTCTTTCCTGGGTCCCACCTGGTGATTCTTGGATGAGCTCTGGGGATTTTCACACCTTCCTGCCTAATGACTTCTGGAGGAGCCTGCCAGTCTGAAGGTGGAGGTTTGCCTATCTGCCTTCTGACTCTGTGCATTTTGGACCCGCACCTCCTTTATTAATAAGGAAGATGTGGGCATCCCAGCCTCCCCCCCACCCCCGACAGACTTGCCTGAACTTGTATGCACGGTTTCTTCCTTCCTTCCAGGGTCAGTATGAGAAGCATCCATCCTTCTGTTCCTGGGGCATCCCCACACTTGTCTGTGGGATGTCTGCCTTGGGGGACCATCCTTGGGGATCCTGCCTCCTGTTCCCTCTGTCCCTCAGTGGACTCTTTTCCCTCCTCCCCAACCTTCCTTGTGTCTTTATCACCTCCCTCTGTCCTATCACCCTTCAGCAACTACTCTGCCATGTTCTTTCACAGGCAAACTTATTGAAAGGGTAGTTAGCCCCTGCTCTCTCCACTTCCTTACCTCCTGTGCGCTGTTCAGCCAAGACACTGCAACTGGCTTCCTTCCTCCTGTGACACTGGAACAACTTTGCCAAGGTTCCCAACGACCTCTGGGTTGCTAAACCCAGTAAACCCTTTTCTTAAATAAAACTGCTTTGATATTATAAAACAAAGCACAAATATTGTAAGAATTCAAGCAATACAAAAGCACGCGAAGTCAAACTTGAAAGTCTCCCTCTGTTTCTCTGTCCATCTGTGTCTTTCCCCAAGGTAAGTACTGTCTACAGCTTGGTATGTACATCTTTCTAGATTATTCCCCATACAAATACAAACACACATTTTCCTTCTTTTGTTCTTTAATTAAAAGCTCATTTTTACTGGTTATATTGTTCTGCACCTTAATCATGGACCTTTTCTACATTAGTACATGTAGATCCATTTTCTTCTTTTTAACAACTACTTAATAGTGTATGTTGTGGATGTATCACAATTTAGTTGATAATTACCTTGTAGTTGAATATATGAACATCTTTGGATCTAGGTATTTGGGAACTTGGATGAGTGTTTCTGAAGCTTAAGTGTAATTGTTCTGGGTAATATCTGTGCGTAAATTTTGATAAATACTACTAAGTTGTTCTTCAAAAATACTGTGCCGATTAACTGTCCTATTGTGACTTTATGAAGGCCTATTGGTCTGTATGTTCATGACAAACATTGTATATGATCAGTTTATTTCCCATTCAGATGGTAGAAAGTGACATCCCATTGTTAATTAGTATTTTCTTTTTTTTTTTTTTTTTCAGTTTTTGGCCAGGGCCAGGTTTGAACCCACCACCTCCAGTATTTTCTTGATTGCTGGTCAGGTTGCGTATCTTTGTCCAGAGTTATTTGTATTTTTCTCATGTGAATTACTAATTTTTATCTGTTTCCCTTTTGCATTGGATTGCCATTTGTCCTTCATTTATAGGAGCTCTTTGCATAACTTAGGAGTATTACATTTTAAATATTTGTCAATGCTGCTGAAATATTTCCCCCCAGCCTTCTGTGTGCTTTTTTTTTGAACATGAGAGCAGACCAAGGAGGCAGCTGCGGAACAGAGCTTTGGGTCAGGCCAAGCTGCACAGGGACTGCAGGGCATCACTCTACCTCCCTCTGTTATTTCATAAGGCCCAATTTTTTCACGAATCTTGAGTAGGTGTCAGAGGTCTGTTTAGCAGTCTTGTCATTGGTTTCCTGGTCAGCCGGTCCGTGGGTTTCTGCCTGGCCGCTGTGGCTTGATCCACCACTTGCTGACCTGTTGCTCGGCTGCTGTCACCGCTTCCTGGGCTGTCTCCTCCACCCGTTGCTTGTGCTAAGCTCTTGCTGGCTATGGCTGAAAGTGGTCTGGGGGGTCATCTAGGGCTGTTGCAGCAACATTGGATCCCACCCAGAGTCCTGCTCTACACTTTTTAACCATGCTCATGTGAAAGCGTTACCATTCAGGTCTCCTCTTGCTTGATCTCTATGGTGCTGAATCCCACTGAGAATCCCATTCTCTTCTTATTCCCCCGATCCCGCTTGGTCTCTTTTGTTGCTGTATTCCTCAATTCATTCCTCAAATATGGATGTTGCTCAGGATTTTACCTTGGTCTTCTTTTCTTGTCACTCTACCTGTTCTCCATAGGCGAGCCTACCTGCCTCCACAGTATCAGCTGCCCACTCCAGCGTGTGCCAGGGTCTCCCACACCTCTTCTTTCCAGCCAGCTTCCCTCCTGAGCTACAGACTGGGACATGCAATTTCCTGCTGAGTCTCCCTGGGGGCCCACAGATGCTGCAAATTCAACATGTAGAAAACTCTTTCATTGCTTTCCTGATCCATGTCCTCCTCCTGAGGGCTTCCTTGTGCACTCCTCTGCCGCCCACCCCTCACACTGCCTCCCTCTTCCTCTCCTCAGCATGGCTGTTGACTGTCTCCTCCTCACCATCTTCACTGATGGTGTTAGGCAACACTTTGTTCGCTCTTGCTGTAACTACAGCAATAGTCACACAATAGTTGTGGGTTCTGGAGCTGGGCTGTCTGAGTTAGGATCCATTTACTAGTCCTGGACTTTGGGCAAATGATTTATTCTCGCTGAGTCTCAGTTTCCTTGTCTGTAAAATAGGGATAGTGAAAACACCTACTGCCCAGGGCTGTTATGTGACTTAAGTGGGTCTATTTATAAAGCGCTTAGAACGATGCTTGGCACTGCCAGCTGCTTCTCCTCTTCCTCCTCCCCTCCTTCTCTCCCTTCTCTTCCTCCTCCACCCCTTCTCCTTCTCTCCTAAGCAATTTCTGCCTCAATTTCCTTGCTTCAATTACCCTTCACTCTGCTGCCAAAACAATCTTTCTGAAACGTGATCACCTTTTTCCCCTCTCTTAAAACCCTTCAATGCCCTCTGTTGCCCTCGGGTAAAGGCAGACTCCTGCACTCACACCTGGTGCCCTCCATGTGACTCTTCTGACTTCTCCAGCCCTGTCCTTTCAGACCACATCCCTGTCCTTAAGTTGGCTCAGGAAACTGCTTGCAGTTCTCCCAGCAGCTGCCCTGGTTTCTCCTGGGACATTGGCATGCGTTTCCCTTTTCCTTGGGATGCTCTTTCCCAACTTCTTGGTTTAGCCATCTTCCCTTTTCCTTCCAAATTCAGCCCCAGGTTTTATAACTAATCTGCTTGGCTGCTCCCTCCCTCACAGTGAGGATATTGAAAACAGGCATTATATATGTTTCTCTCTGCAGCCCCAAATCCATCGGTGTTCAGCATCTCGTAGGCACTTGATACATCTTTGTTGAGTAGTGAATGGATTGACAAGTAGGGGAAATTGGTATAGATGGGAGCATCTCAGTGACATTTAATTTAAAGTAATAATTACATCCCCCAGTTTCCCAGGGCATCCTCAGCCTGCGAGCACACATAAAGTCACATCAATAGCAATAACTCAGGTTCACTGGCTCAGACCCCATTGCTCATGCAGGATTTCAGCTCTATGTGGTGTTCCTCAGGGATCTGGGCAGTCTCTTGGGGGCATCTCCCCCATTCTCCTCTGGGCTTTGCTTTTGCTGCTGGACATGTGCCCTGGAGTCACTGGTAAAGGACAGGTACCCTTGCAGTGCCTCCAAGGTACCCTTGCAGTTGTCTACAGTGACTTTTGGAGATCTCTTTGCTAGAGGGTCCCCAAAGTCTAACTTTTCTGATTTCTTTGTAGAGCTTTATTTCTCTTCATTGAACTTGGTGGGAATTCCTGGGGGCGATGTTGACTTGAGGCTGGTCCTCAGCATAGCTCATCCTTTCTTCCAACAGCGGGAGGAGGTCCAGCTCCCTCATTCCTGGCCTTGGGATTCTCTTCCAGTGCATGCTTTTCTGGGAGCATCCTGCTTCCTCTTTGATAACAGGCTTCTGTTGTGGCCTCTCCACTTGGTTCATCAAGAATACCTAATTATAGCCTTAGAATATGGGAAAGGGGTGGGAGGGGGAGGTGAGTGGGGTGGATGGGGGGAGGGAGGGAGATTGGTGTGGAAGGAGGGTAATTGGTGGGACCACACCTATGGTGCATCTTACAAGGGTACATGTGAAATTTACTAAGTGTAGAATATAAATGTCTTAACACAATAACTAAGAAAATGCCAAGAAGGCTGTGTTAATCAGTTTGATAAAAATATTTCAAATTATATATAAAACCAATACATTGTACCCCATGATTGCATTACTGTACACAGCTATGATTTAATAAAAAAAATTTGGCATATTCAAACAGTGGATAAAACTACTCAATAATAAAATATATTGTTGACATATATATATAACAACATGGTGCGTTTCTTTTTTTCTTTTGAGACAGAGCCTCAAGCTGTCGCTCTGGGTAGAGTGCTATGGCATCACAGGTCACAGCAACCTCCAACTCCTGGGCTCAAGCGAGTCTCCTGCCTCAGCCTCCCAAGTAGCTGGGACCACAGGCGCCTGCCACAACGCCTAGCTATTTTTTGGTTGCAGCCGTCATTGTTATTTGGCAGCTGGGCTGGATTCGAACCTGCCACCTTAGGTGTATGTGGCTGGCGCCTTAGCCGCTTGAGCCACAGGCGCCGAGCCATGGGTGCGTTTCAAAATAATCATACTGAACAAAAGAAGCCAGACAGTAAAGAGTGCATGTCATATGGTTTTATTTATATAAATTTCTAGTTCATGCACATTAGTCTATGGTTATAAAGATATCAGTTGTTGCCTGGGTGTGAAGGGAGGGAAAGAGGAAGGGAGGTTATATGAGGCACGAGGAAACTTTGGGGCTGATGAACATTTATTACTGTGAATATGGAGATGGTTTCATGGGTGTATATTAAGTTAAAACTCATCAAATTGTATACTTCATGAGATTTTTATTATGTTAATAGTACCTCAATAATGCTGTTAAAAATAAGGCAAAACAGACTGAGAAGTGCTTGTAATCCTAGCACTCTAAGAGGCCAGGAGTTCAAGGCCAGCCTGAACAAGAGTAAGACTCTCTCTCTACTGAAAATAGAAAAACTAGCTGGGCATCAATGGGTTGTGCCTATAGTCCCAGCTATTTGGGAAGCTGAGGCAGGAGGATCACTTAAGCCCAGGAGTTTGAGGTTGTAGTGGGCTGTGATGACGCCACTGTATTCTGTAGCTAGGGGAGATGGGAGGGGGCGACAGAGCAAGACTCTGTCTCAAAAAAAAAAAAAAGCAAAATGAAACAAACATAGATCTCTGAAGCAGATTCCATACAGGAAGCTATTGAAGAACCCCAAACCCTGCAGGCTTTGTTTTCCATGAATTGGGAAGGCTGGGAACCATGGTCCAGTGAGGGGAGTACATAGGAGAGAGGCTGTGGCTGCTATAATCTTGCTCACAGTGTGGGTTTGCTGTGCCCAAAGGGTCTTTAGAGAGGATGGAGCCTGACTCTTAAAAAGCCCTGAGAGCCAAGGGCTGCGCCAAGTTACCCTGCTCGTCGAGATAGACACAGGGCTGGGACTGGTTTCCTGCCTGTTAGTCTGGCTCTTCCCAATCCCCACACAGCAATCGGCCCACAGAGGGGCTGTTGCTATGGGTCACCAGCTCCTACAAGGTAGGACTGGACACACTAGGGGGCTGGGGAGAGTTGAGAGCGGGACTGGATGGGTGGAGTGGGTGGCTAGTCCTCGGCTGGGGTGGTCAGGGGACATGGGCATCCACTCCCTGGGCACAGAGTGGGCAGCAGCGCTCTCTCTTCTTGTAATCTGCAGAGCAGGCGTGGCAGAGCAGGCCTCCACAGACCCTGGGGAGCAGAGACAAGGAAGACAATAGCCTCTACAGCTGGCCCAGCAGTGTCCCACATGTGCCCTGGGGGTCATGGAGTTCCAGCACCTTCAGGTCCCCTTCAGATTTCAGTTTCTCTCCAGCAGAATGACCCTTGGTCTATGTCAGAAGGACCCTTTCCCAGAGAGACCCTCTCCTGAAGTGTGCCCTGATGCTTGAGCCCTGCAGAGTCTCTGCCTCTAATGGCTCTTTTCCCTTTCTTGCTGCTTGTCCTGACCCCTGTGATCATAGAGAAAGGTGGGGAGCAGCTTCCCCTGAATGAGAACTCTCTTCCCAGACCAGGGGCCCATTCAATAGTCTATTCTTTGAATTGTGACACCATCACGCGTGTTGAAGCCTAGTCCTTATCTGACTCCCTTTCACTGTTCTGGCCCATGACTCTGCTTAGTGTTGGAAGCCAGATGCGGAAAACTGATGGTCAGTTTTCAGTTGTTTCTCATGAACTCCCTTCCTGGGGGTGGGAAGGGAGCTGTGAGGTGGTAGAAACCAGATACATGTCCCAGAGGAAGGATTCTGTACCCTTCTCATTACCTGCATGGATACCGCCGAGACAGTCGGCCAAAGATCTTGCCACAGCCGACACAGCACCCAGGGGCCGTGGAAGAGACATGCTGGAGCCTCTGCCACAGGTGGTCCTTCTCCCTGATGGGTGGATAGAGGGGCAGCGACACACATAGACAGACAGAAAGATAGAAAGATGGGAACAACCCAGATGGAATGACAGAGAGAGATAGAAAGGGAAACCCAGAGATGACAAGAGGGAGACAGAGAGTAACAGAGGGAGTCACACATAGACACATGGAGAGACAAAAAGGGACAGAGAGACAGAGACAGAAACAAGGACAGAGAGGCAGAAAGATAGAGGTATAGCAGTGGAGAGGGACTCACAGAGAAAGATAGTCATTCAGAGAGAGAATGTAAGCCAGGGAATTGGCAAGGATGACAGGGAGAGACACATGGAGAAAGAGAGGTATTGATATAGAGGGAGAGAGACACACGAAGGAAGAGAAGCAGAGACAGAGAAAGAGACAAATATAGAGGCAGTGAGACACCACACAAGAGATCAATATGGTGACACTCAGGACCCCTTTGCTCAATGTAACCTCAACTCCCATTCTGAAATACAAGGAGGCCGGCATTCTTCTCTGTCAACTCTCCTTCTTCCTTTACCTCGTAATTTGTCATCTATTCCCACAGAATCCAACATGGTAGCCACTAGGTGTACATGGGCATTTAAACTTAAATCAGCTAAAATGGTAATTTCAGTTCTTCAATCACACCAGGTTGATATTTCAAGTGCTTGATCTCTACCTGTGACCAGTAGCACACTGGACAGCACAACTATGGAACATTTCCCTCTTCACAGAACATTCTATTGGATTCTATCCTATACTTAATATTGTTAATGTGGTAACATTATGTTATGTTTCTGTAACTATAATTGCTTCTGTCCTTGCTTTTATGTTGATTTACCAGTGGAAAAAAAAACAATGAATAGTATTCACATTATAAGATAATATATATACATGTTGCTTTCCAGAGATGTCTTCTAGACATTTCCCTTCTTGGAATGCTTTTGTTTTTCTAGGAATTTTTAGGGTCCTTCCTTTGTTTCTTGAATTACTTGCCTTTAATGTATTATTCTCTCAACAATTCTTCATCATATCAAGTATTGTGGTGATTTGCCTTTTCCCAGAGACCTTCCTCCTGGGCTCTTGATAATTCTGCTTCAATCTAGATTGACTGCTCTTGGGCATGCTGCCCATTTGCCATTTTGGGAATTCCCTTTTCTTCTGTCCTAGGCTAAAGCTATTGTTTCCTGTATCCCACATGTTCTCCTTTCTTGGCTTATTTCCTTGTTTTTCTGGAGCACATCCTCAACCAACTTCTTAGGAAAGGATATGTGGGAGTTGAATTTTTAGAAACCTGAACATTTCTTTACCCCATCACCCTCCCCACTTCATTCATAATTTGTCTAGGCATGGAATTTTAGGGCAAAAGTCAGCTTTTCTCAGACCTTGGAATGTATTGCATCATGGATTCTTGACAAGGGTTAGCTTTGGCTGAAGAGACAATTTTTTTGGCTTACAGACAATTTTAGGATAGTCTCCTTATTTTTGTTTTACTAAAGCTTCATAGTAATGTATCTATGTGTGGGTTTTGATTGTTTTGTTTTTAATTTATTGTGCTGGGTCACTCAGTGAAATCTTTAAATCTGAAGACCAATATCCATAAGAACTGAAACATTCTCTCACCTTTTTTTTCTTATATTTTATTTGATAACCATATTAATTTTATTCTGTTTTTATAGAACTCCTAACTTGATTCATTGTCTCTTATTTTTTCTCTCAAGACTCCAATCTCTGTGCTTTTCTTTCTGTTTTCTTAGAGACTACCTCATCTTTCTCTTCTAATCCTTGTAGTGAATTAAAAAAATCAATGATAGTATTTTCAATTTCCAAGAATGTTTCTCATCTTTCTTTCTCTTCTTAAAAATTTCAGATTAATATAAGTGTATACACGATTGAGCTACATTATTTGCATTTGTTGGGTAACATGTAGTTGTAGTTGAGTCCTTCACATAGGAGGTGTGCCATATACCCCTATATTGTACCTGTTAGGTGGGAGCTGACTAAGCCCCCTCCCTCCTTCCCTCTTTCTTGAATTTAATTGTGTTTTTCTCTTGTGTGGACCTGTATTTGTTCATCTGCTAGTTTCAAATTAGTATTGAGTACATGGAATGCTTGCTTTTCTATTCTTGAGATGCTTTACTAAGGAGAATGTTCCTCAACTCTATCTAGGTAAATACAAAATATGTAAAGTCTCCATCATTTTTTGTGGCTTAATTGTATTCCATGAGATACACATACTACAGTTTATTAATCCATCCATGGGTTGATGGGCACTTGTGTTTTTTCCACATCTTTGTGATCGTGAATTGAACTGTTATAAACATTTGAGTGGAATTGTCCTTATGATAAAATGATTTTATTTTCTTCTGGGTAGATCCTAGTAATGAGATTGTGGGATCAAATGAAAATTCTACTTTTAGGTCTTTGAGGATTCTCTAGACTGCTTTCTAAAAAGGCTGTATTAGTTTGCAATCCCACCAACAGTGTATAAGTGTGCCCGTCTCTCTGCACTCAAGCCAGCATCTGTAGCTTTGGGACTGTGTGATGTAGGCTATTCTCACTGGGGTTAGGTGATATCTTAGGTGGTTTTGATTTGCATTTTTCTGATGACTGGGGATGGTGAGCATTTTTTCATGTGTTTGTTGGCTATTCATCTATCTTCTAGAGAGAAGTTTCTGTTCATGCCTCTTGTCTAGTGATTAATTGGGTAGTTTGCTCTTTGCTTGTTGATTTTCTTGAGTTCTTTGTAGATTCTAGTAACACGCAAATGTTTTCTCCCATTCTGTTTATTGTGTCCTTAACTGTGCAGAAGCTTTTGAGCTTGATCAGGTCCAATTTATTTTTGTTGTTGCTGTAATTGCCAATGTAGTCGTCTTCATACAATCTTTCCCCAGGCCAAAATTGTTAAGAGTTTTTTTCCACACGTTCTTCTATAGCTTGTATAGTTTCATGTCTTAGATTAAAATTTTTTTTTTCCAGTTTTTGGCTGGGGCTGGATTTGAACCCACCACCTCTGGCATATGGGGCTGGTGCCCTACTCTTTTGAGCCACAGGTGCTGCCCCTAGATTTAAATCTTTTAACCAAGGTGAGTTAATTTTTGTAAGTGGTGAGGGGTGAGGTTCCCATTTCAGCCTCTTTCATGTGACTAACCAGTTCTCCTAGCATCATTCATTAAATAGGGATTCCTTCCCCCAGGGTATGCTTTTGTTTAATTTATCAAAGATCAGAGGGTGATTATGAGGTTAGTTTCATTTCTAGGTTCTGTATTCTGTTTCATAGATTTGTGTCTCTGTTTTTATACCAATATCATGCTTTTTTGATCACTATAAACTTGTTCTATAACCTGAAGTCTGGTAATGTGAATCTTCCCGATTTTTTTTTTTTTTTTTTTTTTTAAGACAGAGTCTCACTTTGTCACCCTCAGCAGAGTGCTCTGGCATCATAGCTCACAGCAACCTTAAACTCTTGGGCTTAAGCAATTCTCTTGCCTCAGTCTCCCAAGTAGCTGGGACTGCAGGTTCCTGCCACAATGCCTGGCTACTTTTTAGAGATGGGGGTCTTGCACCAGCTGAGGCTGGTCTCGAACCTGTGAGCTCAGGCAATCCACCCGCCTCAGCCTCCGAGAGTGCTGGGATTACAGGTACGCCTGGCCAGATCTGTTCTTATTTCTTAGAATTGCACTGGCTATTTGTGTTTTTCTCTGATTCCATATGAAATGACGAACCATTTTTTCAAGTTCTTCAAAGTATGATGTTGGTGTTTTAATGGCGATTGCATTAAATACGTAGATCTGGTTGGGTAGAATAGACAATTTAACAATGTTGATTCTTCCTACTCATGAGCACAGTATGTTCTTCCATTTGTTATGTCTTCTATTTCTTTTCTCAGGGTTTTGTAATTCTCTCTGTAGAGATCCTTCACCTTTTTTGTTAGGTATATTCCAAAGTATTTCATTTTATTTGAAGCTAACATGAAGGGAAGCTACCTGGGTCTTTTATTTGATTCTCAGCTTGACTGTTATTGGTGTAGATGAAGGCTATTGATTTGTGGACATTAATTTTATATCTTGAGACATTACTATATTTCTTGATCACTTCCAGGAGTCTTATGGTTGAGCCCCTGAGGTTTTCTAAGTATAAGATTATATCATCAGCAAAGAGCAAAAGTTTGACCTCCTCTGTCCCCATTTAGATACCCTTGATAGCCTTCTCTTGCTTGAGTTTTGGCTAGGACTTCCAGCACTATATGGAATAGCTGTGGTGATAGTAGACATCCTTGTCTGGTTTCAGTTCTAAGTGGAAATGCTTTCAGTTTTACTCCATTCAGTATGATATTGGCTATGGGTTTGTTATAGATGGCTTCTATCAGTTTAAGAAATGTTCCATCTATGCCTGATTTCTTAAGTGTTTTTTATCAGAAAAGGATGCTGAATTTTGTTGAATGCTTTTTCTGTCTATTGAGAGGATCATATGGCCTTTGTTTTTACTTCTATTTATGTGGTGAATTGTGTTTATAGTTTTGTATATGTTGAACCAGCCTTGCATCCCTGGAATAAAACCTACCTGATTGAGATGTACAGTTTTAAAAAATGTATATCTGTGTTCTATTTGCTAGGATTGTATTTAGTATTTTTGTGTTGATATTCATTAATTAGTTCATTCTTTTTTTGATGGGTCCTTTCCTGGTTTTGGTATCAGGGTGATACTTGCTTCATAGAAGGAGTTGGGAGACGTCCTGCTTTCTCAATGTTTTGGAATGTGTTCTGCAATATAGGTATAAGCTCTTCTTTGAAGGCTTGGTAGAATTCTGGTGCAAAACCCTCTGGTCCAGGACTTTTTTTGATGAAAGCTTTTTTATTTTTGTTGCAATTTTGGTGCTTGATATGGATCTGTTAAAGAGTTCTATTTCTAGGGAGGTAGTGTGATTCCAGGTATTGGTCCATTTCCTCCACATTTTTAAATTTTCAAAAAACAGGGGTTTTTGGGTACAATCAGTGATAATCTTTTGTATATCTGTGTTATCTATTGTTATTTCCCTTTTTTTGTTTCAGATTGAGGTTACTAGAGATCTTTTCTGTTTCTAGTTAATCTGGACAAAGGTTTATCAATTTTATTTACATTTTCCTTTCCTTTTTTTGAGACATAGTTTCATTCCTTCACCCTGGGTAGAGTACTCTGGCATCATACCTCATAGCAACCTCAAACTCTTGGGCTCAAGTGATCCTCTTGCCTCAGCTTCCTGAGTAGTGGGGACTACAGGCACATGCCACAATGTCCAGCTAGTTTTTCTATTTTAAATAGAGATGAGGTCTTACTCTTGCTCTGGCTGGTTTCAAACTTAGGAGCTCAAGCAATCTACCCACCTCAGCCTCCCAGAGTGCTAGGATTACAGGCATGAGCCACCATGCCTCGCCTGTTTCTTTATCTTCATCTACCCTTTTGTCTTCTAGACTCTCCTCACATGTCTAGGGACCTATGGTTGCCACTTCATGTTTAAAAAAGAGGCAGTAGAAGCTGATTGGAGCTCTGACTAGTGGATAAATATGATTGACTAATGGTTTCCCTTTAAAGGGAACTGGGCAGGATGCTGACTTTCAAATGTCAGGACAAACTGATAGTTTATTGGGGACATCTACATTTCTTAAGAGAAGGGCCTTTTCATCATTTTCTGGGAGACAGGTCTCCTGGCTGCTGGATATCCTCCAGGTAGGGAGGCAGTCCTCTATGTAATTTATATGCAGTGTGTCCTTGGGGACCACATCAGCCTTTCTGACCCTCAATTTTCTTATTTGTAAAATGGGGATGCCAGCAGGGGGTAGCTAAAAGAAGGAGATGAGTTAGCATATATAAAAGGTCTAGAAGCCTGACTCAGAGTGGTTAGTGGCATGAAATTTTCATGCCCTGCCCTCTACATTCCTTACTATCCCCCCTTTTCTGAATGTCCCCATCCTTACTGAATCAGTTCCAACACCCGCTTCTTCATGAGCTGAATCAGGTCCCGCTGTCCTCCAAGCTCCTCCTGGTACATGGCGTCTCTCCTCTCAGCCTCCTGTTGTTTCTGTTCCAGCTGTGTCTGTAGCAGGGCTCTCTCTTCCTGACACCTGGACACAGAAGGAAGAGTAAGCTGTGAGGTCAAGAACTCAGCATCTGTGACTGGGCATCTCTGGGGGACACTGGTGCTGCCCCCTGCAGCTCAAAGTCATATACACACAACATATAGCACATACACAGCCTAGCACACAAGGCCTCTCACAGACTACACAACACAACACACACAAGATACAATATACACATAACACATGCAAACAATACAACACGCGCATACAACACAACATGCATACAATGCACTCATGTACACACACACACACACAATGCACGCGCCACACACCAAACTGGCCTGCGTGAGGTCTGATACCTGCAGGCTGACGTCTCACCAACTATTCAGAGAAATGAAAAATGAAAACAAGGCCAACCCTTGAGTGCTCCTTTAGAGGGGATGAGCCAACATTTCCATATTTTTCCTTCTTTTTCTTTAAAAAAAATTTCCATTTTAATATGTGATTTTCTTTAAAGGTGTGCTCCTGATCATGGCAGCTGTCTGGAGGGAAGGTGGAGGACTGGGGCCCAGGCTGGCTGTGCTCTGCTTAGCTGGAAACTATTATGTGTAGAGGGGGAGCAGTGTAGGGTTTGGGATAACTTTTTGCTTTGAAATATTTTAAATGTTTTAAATATTACGTTATCTCTTCAGGTAAAAAAAGTAATATTAAAAATATGACTTTCCTAAAACTCTGTACCAGTTTTGGCCTTGGAACTTCTGCTCTATTCCTTTCCTTTTGTCTTTAGTGGTTTTGAAGAAGGTTCCAAGAAGTCTACTGGACTGGACATAAGCAGGTCCTCGCTTTTAACTCATGGCTCAGTTAGGAGGGTGTCATGAAGGTGGGTGGGTAATGGTAGGGGTCCCTGTGCTCCAGATGTGTGCACATGTGTGTGTGCAAGTGCCCTTGGGTGTGTGTTTGAGGGGAAAAGGCTTGTGAGCGGCTTGACAATGAATCAAGCAATTCATTGTTTTTTTTTTTTTGAGATGGAGTTTCACTATGTCACCCTGGGTAGAGTGCCATGGTGTCACAGCTCACAGCAAACTCAAACTCTTGGGCTTAAGCGATTTTCTTGCCTCTGCCTCCCAAGTAGCTGGGACTATAGGCACCCACCACAACGCCCTGCTATATTTTGGTTGCAGTTGTCATTGTTGTTTAGCAGGCCCGATCCGGGCTTGAACCTGCCAGCCTCAGTGTATGTGGCTGGTGCCCCACTCACTGAACTATAGGCGCAGAGCCCAAGCAATTCATTTTTAAAACATTGCCATTTAGCACGCTGCAGGGATAAAAGTTTGGTTGGTCATATAATTAAACCAGCACCAGTAGCCACTGACCTTCCAGAAAGGCTGGTCACTGCAGTCTTAAGAGTGTTCTGGTGTCTGGGCATGGATCAAGGCCATGTTTTTTCTTTTTTTTTAGAGACAGAGTCTCACTTTGTCACCCTCGGTAGAGTGCTGTGGCATCATAGCTCACAGCAACCTCCAGCTCTTGGGCTTAGGCAATTCTCTTGCCTCAGCCTCCTGGGTAGTTAGGACTGTAGGCGCCCACCTCAATGCCCGGTTATTTTTTGTTGCAGTTTGGCCAGGGCTGGGTTTGAACCTGCCACCCTTAGTATATGGGGCTGGCGCCCTACTCACTGAGCCACAGGTGCTGCTCCAAGGCCATGTTTTTACAAGGACCATTCTAGTCATCAGCCTCTTCATTTCTTAGCTGCTGACTTTAATTTTCCTGAACCACTTTCCTTGCCTAGTGATCCTGGATCCTTATGTGACCACTGGGATGCGTGTGTGTGTCTTTGTGGTGGGAAGGAACACTTAGTTAGCACTTACTGTGTGTGAGTGACTGTTCAGGTGCCAGGAATAGAACAGTGCCTAAGGCTCCTGTGGAAATTATAGTGAGTTTGGAGCAGTAGTCAAAACAAGTGATAGACTGATAAAATAATTAAACTCAGTGTTATGACAATAATTGAGGGCTTGAGGCAGATCAGAGAAAGTGTGCAGGGAAGCCTTCTCAGCAAGGTGACAAGTAAGCAGACCTAAAAGATGAGAAGTCAGACACGTGGAGCCAGGCAGGGCACATGCAAGGGTCTGCCAGGTGGAAATAGCTGGGTTGGTTTGAGGAACTGAAAGAAGACTAGTGAATCTGGATGGCCAAGTGGGGCAATGGGGATTCTGGAAGGCTGAAGAGGAGTGGGGATGGGTGGGGCCCGATCCGTTCTCCAGTGGCATAGGAGGAGTGAACTTTAATCTCAGTGCAATGAGAAGCCACTGGAGTGTTTAATCAGGGGGTGACAGTACTCCTAGTGCAGGAGGGGCTGTGGAACGAATTAGTATAATGAGCAACAGCTACATGCCAGGCACTGATCCTGGTGTTCGCCAGCCTGCTTCATGCAGTGTTCACAACATGTGAGACAGGTGATGTGATTCTCATTTTCTCAAGAGAGAAAAGTAGAGCCTCGGAGAGGGAGTGACACTTGCCCAGGGTCACACAGTTTGAGCAATGGAGGAAGCAGAAATCTGGGCGCAGGTCTGTTCAGCTTTTAACTTCTGCTTCCTCAAATCTCCATCCACCCAGGGACCCAATCACCAATGATTTCTGACACCAGTGCCAAGTGGGCAGCAAGTGGGAGAGAGGGAAGGATCCTGATAGCCCCTGTAGGCCTCAGAGGAGCTCAGTGCTGCTGTTCATGGGGTGGGGGAGATATAGTGTTGCCTAATTCCCCATTCCGAGGACCTCTGGTCTATGTCACTCCTAGTTTCTTTTGCTTGAAAGTCTTTCCCTGGGGCAGAGGAAACCCTCCTGCTGGGGCAGATGGCCCCACAGAGCATAGGTGTCGGGAGAAGAGTTAGTTACCACATCATCTCCTTTTGCAAATTGGAGGCCTGAGGCCCAGAGAGGAGAGGCCACTGTCTTAGGTGCTCACAGCCAGATAGCCATGAAATAGATGTTGGAAGTAAATCCCATGTTTCAGTCCAAGTTTATTTCCATAGCCCTGCAGGTCTGCCCTGGGTTGGCTACCACATGCCTATACCTTTAGCCCGGGCGTAGGAGCCTGCACTGACTGTCCCCCCTCAGTCTGTCCTCCAAACTACAGCCTGAATGAGCCCTTTGACCACAAGTGTCAGCCTGACTCACTCGCTCCACACCTGCCTCAGCCTTGTTTGGTGTGTAGAAGAATTCTAGAGACTCACTCGGCCTTCAGGGCCTCTGGCTACTAGTCTGCCCTAGCTCCCTTGTTCAGTCATTCCTGAAGCATCTGGCCTGCCTGTCTTTGAACCCACAGCTCTGGGCCTTTGTCTCTGCTATTCCCATGGCCAGCAGTGCCCCTCCCTGGATATTTGCACAGTCCAGTCTTCCATGTGGCTGGGATTTCTGCTCAACTGTCACCTCCTCAGAGAGGCCTTCTTGGACCCCAAGTCTGAATAAATCCGGTCTTTATCCCCTCACTGGCTTTATTTTTCTCCACAGCATCTGTTACTATCTGACATTGTATTTCTATTTGTTTATCTACTATCTGTCTCCCAGGTCATGTAAAGAAGACCATGCCTGTTTTGTTCCCAGTTGTACAGCGCTCCTCACTCCCCACCCTACTCAGGGCCAGACTAGAGGCAAGATAAATGCTGTCAACAGAATGAATGGGCCCTATGGCACTTCTGTTCACTGTGGCAAGCTGCCTGTCACCAGCTGGAGGCCTAGGGTCCCTTTTCCTAGAAGTGAGTGTTGTACTTAGTTCCCTGGATCCCAGGAGTCAGGAGAGCATGTTCTCGTCCCAGCATCGGGGATAGCTATTTCTTCCTATCCATATTCTGATGCTTCCCAAATCTATCTCCTGCCCATACTTCCTTCCTGAACCTCACACCCAACTGCTTGCTCAGCAGCCCCACTAGGTGTTCAAAGCTGAGATCCCGACAAACGTGCCCTCCCACAGCCTCCCCATGTCAGTTAACAGTGACTCAGTGACTCAGCTTGACCCTCGATCAGGTCAAAAACTTGGGGTATTCTTGACTTCTGTCTTTCTCTTACACCCCCATCTAACCCTTCTGGAAGCCCTACTTAGTAATTTATCCAAAATCCAACAGTTTCTCCTCCCTTCATTGCCTCCAGCCCAGTCTGAGGCTCCTTCACTCTCCCCGGCACAGAGCCACTGCCTCACGAGGCTCCTTGCATCTAGCTTGCTTATCGGTAGGCTAGCTCCACCGGGTCTTTTAAAATACAAGTCAGTCTGGAACAGGCTGATCTATATAGATAAAAAGTGGAGTGGAGGTTGCTTATGGCTGTGGATGGAATGGGGGTGACTGCTAATGCGTACAGAGTTTCTCATTAGGTTGATGAAAATGTTCTGAAATTGATTGTGATGATGGATGCACACTACTCTGTGAATATACTAAATATTTTGAATTGATAAATATTCTAAAAGCATATAAATTTATGTGTATGTTCAATATTAAAAATGCCTCAGATCATGTTGCTCCTCTGCTCAGAACTTTTTTGTTTTTAATGGCCGGGGCTGGGTTTGAACCCATCACCTCTGGTATATAGGGCTGACACCCTATTCCTTGAGCCACAGGTGCCACCCAGCTCAGAACTTTTAATAGAACCCATCTTATGCTAAGCCAAAACCAAGGTCCTTTCCATGATCCACTAGCCTTTCCCTAACTCGGCCCCCATTGCCCACCTGACCTTTTTCTACATTCTCTCCCCTCTTCACTCCACAGGGGACTAAATGGCCTCCCTGATGTTTAAGAACCTGCCATGTCCCTTTCCCTTCTGGGCTTTTGCTCTTGATGGTCCCTCTGACTGGAACATTTCTTCAATGGCTCACTCTTCACTTGGTAAAGTTTCAGGTCTTTACTCAAATAACATCTTTTCAGGGACAGCTTCCCTAGCTTTGTCATCTTATTTAAAATATCACCTGTGAGATCTATTCAGAATAACTGCCAACCAAGAATTCTGTATCTTGCAAAGGTAGGTTTCATACATGAACGAGAAATAAAGTCTTTCCCAGA